TAAAAAAATGAAATCATTAGAGGAAAAAAAACAAACTTTAATTTGTTCTTTATTCATTTGATATGAGAAACCAATGACCGATTAATTCAAATTTGTGTAAGGAAGACCGAGTAAGGAGGGGAAGATACTCCATATCGAGTAATTCCATTTCTATTAATCGAACTCGGACCTTTGGTCATGAATGAAAAATTTTTAATCATCACATCATATTCCTTTTTTTTTTTTTTTGGCTAATAGGGCTTTGATTAAAAACATCATATTCCTTAGTGGTACGTAGAAAAAGCAACTGAAAGTAATAAATAATGTTTAAATACAAGTTTGATAAGTGACGTGCTTTTGAATTGTATGCACCTCCTTCTTTTCTTAACTAATATTTTTTTGGGGGTTTTCCATCTGGTACTTAATATCATTTTGGAACCCGACTAATTCGAATTCACCTTAAAAAAATTCACTTAAGGTGTAAAGCACTTTCGTACTAAAAATTCTTTTAAAATCCAAATGAATACACATAAGCTATACAAATTGGCTAAGTAACCAGAAAAGTAGGAATAGCATAAAAGAGAAGGTAACAGGGAAACCGTGAATGAATTAATTTTTGGGAGATGAAAGCTAGGAAAAAGATATTATAAATGGTGGGTCATATGATCATAGAGATAAAGCTTCATGATAGGGGCATATTGTGGGGTTTTTATGTCCAAATCAATAGGCAAACATTAAAAACATTATCTTATTTTCTCCTTCAATATCACTATCCCACGAACCATGCAATCAAGTAAGGATAAGGACATGAATGCATTTGTCTATTGCTTAAATATCATTTATACTTGTATGATATTTAAATAATATCCCATTCCAAATAATCTTTCTCTTTTTTATTTCTTTGTTCTTTTTGGCATTTTCTTTGGATAGTTGTTTTCAATAAGTTCATCTCCAACACTTGCCTCCATTTTATACTCCAATAAAGTTACTCAAACCATTACTCCAACCATTACTTCATTTTTTACTCAAAAAATAAAAATCCATTTTATATTCTTCTCTCTCTTCAATATTATATTATTATCTTTTATTTAAATTTTATTTGCTTATTTCTATTAAAGAAATTCTATCTTTTTTCTTTTTTTTATATATTCATCACATATAATTTATATTCCTTTCTTATATAACCATTCAATATATAAAATTATTTTATACCATAAATTTTTAATAATATAATTTGTAAGCAAATATTATAGACTATATATATTGACGGATAATTCAAATAAAAGTGAAATCATTGAGATACAAGATAATTAAATACATATTACATTATGGTAAAATTCAGATTAAATATTACATAAATATTCAACTTTCACCTATAGTATGCTCTCATAAATGATCTATTAATGCATTACGAAATACAAAAATGAGCATCTTTGTCCTTAATTCTTTTGTGTCGAGCTAAAAAATTATTCAAATCGGTGATTTTCATCTACTACCATTTCTATCGTTGGAGGTGGATATTTTCAATCATCTTGAATTGGTGCATTAAGATCACGCGCATCCTCGATTATTATGTTGTGTAGTATAATACATGTAGCTATTATATTATGTAGCACTTCTTTTCTCAAAAAACGTGATGGTCTTGCAACAATTGCACAACGAGCTTGCAAAACTCCGAATGCACGTTCAATATTTTTTCGACGTGATTCTTATTTCATCGCGAAATATTTCTTCTGTGGCGAATGTGGGTCACGAATAATTTGCACAAGGGTTGATCATTTTGGATATATACCGTCAGTTAAATAATAATCCATATCATATTCTTTTCCTTGAACAACATAATGGGCAAGAGTAGCAATACCTGCAACAAGATCAGAAAACAAATATTGTATTTTCATTTAATGTATTTTCAGTTTTCACTTTTCAATTTTAGCAACATCTAATATTTTATATTCGCACCTTTCAATTTTAGCAACATCCAATATTTTATATTTGCACCATTCATTTTTTGAGATGATTATATATTTTTTGTATAATTATAACTTATAATAAAATTAACTTATAATTTTACATAAAAATAATAAATGCACGAAAATTAATTTATCAAAATTATACGCCAAAGTTAAGATGTAAAATTAATATTATAAAGATATTAAATAAACATATTTAGGTATATATAAAGAGATAAATTTAAAAAGCTAAATAAAAAAAAGTAAGGATGAATAATAATGGAGGAGATGAATAGTGTCACTCCAAATTTGGAGTAACACTATTCATCCCCCATTTTGCAGCCAAAAATGGGGAGCATTGGAGCCACATTTTGGCAAAACTAACTGCATTTTGGAAAAATGCAGAAGCAAGCGTTGGAGATGCTCTAAGAAGTTACATACTAAAGCCCCCCTCCCCCCTCCATGAAAAAGACCTTGTAATACTACAATTAAATGTCTCTTGAAATTTCTACTTTAATCTCACAATAGAATTACTCGAATGTCGTTTTCAGGAAGGAGCTGAAAATAAATCTCTTGAAAGTTAATATCACATGCGTAATTTTTTCTTTATAGTGAATTGAACTTTTAAAATTTTTAAATGTCAATATATAACTTAAAGAGATCTTTAATCATGCATCCGTGAGACTATGATTAATGTGATTGAAGCATTTGAGTAAAATTCAAGAGGTAATCATGCAAATCGTACAGTTTTTTTTCCAATGAATTAAATCAAATGGCATGGGGTATCTTTTAAAAAATTGACACTTGATTTATAGCCTGTCTGGCCAAACTTCTAAAATCAGCTTATTTTGAGAAGTGTTTTTCTCAAAAGTACTTTTTAAAAAAGTGATTTTGGTGAGAAACAATTTGTGTTTAACTAATTAATTTGAAAATCACTTTTGAGCAGTAATTAGTGTTTGGTCAAGTTTTTGAAAACTACTTTTAAATGTATTTTTCTCAAAAGTGCTTCTGAGAAAAGTACTTTTTGAAAGAAGCTACTTTTTTCTGCTTCTCAAAAATTGTTTCTGCTTCTCCTCAAAAATACTTTTTTTTTATTCTAAAAGTTTGGCCAAACACCTCAATTTTTGGCCAAAAGCACTTTTGACCCCCAAAAAAAAAAGTTTTGGCCAAAAACAAAGGCCAAACAGGCTATTGGTCACTTTGGACCCATTTGCCCCATCAAAATCCAACGCCTAGTAAGTTAAAAGGTGTCCAAAAGGAACGGTGTTGTGCAAAGCTCGGTGACAATGCCTGTGTAGTGGAATTTCATGCTCGTACTCTGTCAAATTTTAGTATAGTTTAAAATATTGTTCCACAGAGACTGGATAATTTATGCTATAGACTTGTAATATTTTAACTACTATTTGAGAGAATCAAATTGATAAAAAGTGAGTGAGGTTTATAACTTATTAATTACTTAAATAAAATAAATAATTTTTGAAAGATTTATACTTTTTAAAAGTTGGGAATCATTGAATTCACTTGATAATATTACTACAATAAAATCTCAACTTCTACATTTATTTCTTTAAAGAATAATTGCTTATTTCTAATATAATTATATTTTGCTCACTAAGAAATAACTAATTAATAACACTCTGTGAGAATTATGTTAATTAATCAACTTAAGACTAGTGACATTTAAATCGAAATATTTTTCTTGTTTGAATTGTGCTAAAAGAAAGTAAAAATTTCGTGAGAATATTTTTACTAAGGATCAATAATCTTGCCTACAACAATTCCTCCGTGAGAATTAGAGGCAAGTAAGATTGCTAACTTGAAATAATAGTTTACTGAAAAATTACTTTCACTCTACTATTTTATTCATCAGTTATTTTATATTAATTTTGCTCCGCGAAAATTATAAAATTAATATATGAATAACTTAGAGATAAAATATATAGACATGATAATAGAGTAATTAAAAACCATCATTTCAGCACAGTATGAAATGTAAATAAAAAGTTTCAAGCCAAGAATATATAAAAACTGAGATAGTATTATAAAATATATCAAGCTTCATCAACTACCAAACGAAAAGAGATTACTCCATTATGGAGTAAGAAAAGCTAAAAAAAGATATTTAGAAAACTAAAAATATTTAAAAGACTAAGAAAATATTTTTACTTCACAGAAAGAAGACCAAGACTAGTTCTTGTCTTACAAAAGATCGGATATCCTTATACAAAGAGAGCTTGCTATTTATAGGAAAATATGAGTAGCTTTTGTCATGTTCCACTTTTGCGAATGTGAAATTCATGTATGCGAAGTGACCTTTGTGTACGTAGATTCCATATATGCAACTATGACACTTGTGCTTCACTCTTAGACTTCATGAGTTAGTCTTGCAAATGTAGGTTCCATGTATGCGAATGTGACCTTTGCAAATATAGATTCCACATATGCATCTATGACTCTTTTGCTTCCATTCTTGACTTCATGAGTTAAACTTACAAATGTAGGTTCCATGTATGCAAATGTGACCTTTGCGTATATAGATTACACATATGCATCTATAGCTCTTTTTCTTTCATTCTTGACTTCATGAGTTAGATTTGCAAATGTAGGTTCCATGTATGCGAATGTGACCTTGCATATATAGATTCCACATATGCAACTATCACTACAAAAAAAAGCTCATTTTATGGGGTTTTCTTGGTCGATTAGTGGCAGCTTTCAACCCCCACAAAATGAATTGTGGCGGTTTGAAAAAACGTCACATTTATATTCGCGACAAGCATTTTTGCAGCACTTTTTTAAAACCTCCTCGACGACCGCCACAAAATAAATATTAATTTGTGGCAGTTTTAAAAAGAAATTAGCGGCAATTTTTAACCCCCATAATATGATTTTAACGTTTAAAAAATTAATTTATGGGCATTTATAACCCCCACAATTTGATCTCAATCTTTAAAAAAAATTAAACAGTGGCAGTTATAAACTGCCACAATACCTATTTAAAAATTTTAATTCAAATATTCAATAAATAATTGTTTACTAAATTAGTAACTCAAATTCCATTAGAAATATCTATACTAACAAACATTACAAACCAAATTATACAAACACATATATGATAACTTAAACACTAGACAATCTAGAGACTAGAGTAGTTCCTCAACAAATAAATATACAAAAGTGGAAAGTACTTGCTTGGTGATTTGTATTCCTGTCACTTAATGATACTCTTACATCCATGGGTGAAACACACTCGATCTCCATGTCACTATGCTGAAACAATGAAACAAAAGTATTTGATGAAAAACTTATAAACAACTAGCATTTTGACAGGATAAAAGGACAAATCTAGTTACATAAATAAAAGAAAGCTACAAATCTTCTTACAAATAAATCTGTCACTTGGTTTAATAGCATTGAACAGAAGTTACTGGATATTCTCACATGAAAAAGAATTAAAGTATAAAGTTATTTCCTCGTATATCATCATAAAACTTACCTCCAAAATATTTCTACTTGGCAGCATAAAATCTAGCCATATATTCATGAAAAAATCACCTACATAACTATTAAAGTATACGCATCCTCTATAAGCTTTCTAGTATTAAACAAACAAAGTATGAGTTGCAATCCAGCCCAATGATTCGCAGAAGTTAAACTTGGACCAGCTGAAAGCTAATAACAACACTGGAAATTGAAGTAGAGGAAATGAACTATAAAATATAAACTAATAATTAGTTAAATAAACCAAGCCAGCGCCCATAATCTTCTGGAGCTAATTTCAAGCAAAAGAAGCAACAAGAAAGTGCCAAAACTTGAACCGAAAAATAGAATTTATGTACTATCAGCTTACTTCATCTCATTTCTTGAGGTACTTAATCAAAAATTTTAAGGCATGAATTCCACTAGTATCTATATCAAGTAAAGAATCACTCTTACAATAAGAATGCCAAGGACCCTTACTATTTCTGTATATTATTGTACTGATATTTCTGTAAACAATAGTCCTAGGAATAAGAAAATACATAAGCAATCAATTTATAACTAAAACCATCAATTTAGGTAAGCTGTGAGTTTAAAGTTGTATCTCAAGTTTATACCTACCTGAGCCATATAGCAGTTGTCATTGAGCCAACCATGTTTATTGTTCTCAAGGCTACCACTTCTTTGCTTCAATCCAACTGATATTCAATAATAAGAAGCATGTTATATAAATATTAAGTTTCTCTGAAAAAAATACCTAGCCAAGAAATGAGGTAAGAAGCATAACTTACTCCTCAATGCTATAAAAACAGCCCATCAATGCTAAAACCTTTGCACTGGTAGAGGATTTATCCCTCGATGGATTTACAACACCTTGACATTATAATTAAATTAAATGTAAGGTACAAACGAAGAAAATTGTTAACCAATAAAATAAGAATCATAAAAGTTTAGTTGCTTGTAATTAAATACATGCATGCTTTCTTGTTATTAAATTCAACTATATAAAGCAAAACTGAAGAGCGGGGCATACAACATCAAAAACCTAGAACTAGCAAAAGTTGCAAAAACAAAAAAAAAATCCATTTTTTACTTTGTGCAAATGAAAAGTACTAAACTAGAACTCACAGGATAAAATCCTATAAACATATCCATTACATGAATGGATACAGAATCACCATGCTTCTTTGAGCCAAACAGGTCATGTGCGATATGACAAAGTTACTTCTTAATATGATCTGTAGGACTTACTCTGACTAGTCATCGAATAGCTTTTATAATGACAAGACATGTTTAGATATGTTAGATAAAGCTCCGAAAAGACAATGAAGGAACTGCTAGCCAAAGTTTAATGTAGTACTTTACTTAATGTAAGACGATCATTACTCGCCAAGCTTGTTTTCTGAAATAAAAGATAGTTGTGCACAAGGATAGAAAGAAGTTGGTCTGTTACAGGATAAGAGTGACAAGAGATATGTGTTGTAACTTATAAGAAATTATTACAATTATCGGTTCAGTAATCTTTGTTAATATTGGTCAAGCAATCAATTAATAGTTAAAGTTGCTCAAAAGTACTATTAAAACAACTTTTGATAAACAAACTCCAAATACATTTGTAGAAGTAAACAAACCACAAGGGGTGCTTTACCATGGCGATTAGCTCAAATCCTGGATGATCGGTTCATTACGTTAGAATGCCCTTTGATTCAGTGGGTAAATAACTACAACAATCACCTAAAGTTCATCTAATTGTACTTATATTTCCAGCCGTCCCTGATATACAAGGATGCAGTAGTTGCACACATATAACATGTCACGACCCAAAATCCCTCCACATGTGTCGTGATGACACTTAGTCTCTAAGACTAGGTAAGCCGATTATAATAACAATTCAAGCCATTTTTTTTTTATATATATAAACCAACAGCGGAAATAATTACAAATATAACAACCTCCCAAGACTGGTAATACTGAGTCACGAATTCTAATTGAATACATGAAATGATCTCAAGGATTGAATACTCAATATTGTTTGATTAATAATTAACAATACAATAAAATAAAAAGACTTCAAGGGACTGCGACGACCAAGCAGCTCTACCTTGAATCCTTGTGATCACACTTTAACTCTGTCTGAGTCTGATAGCTCCAATACGTGACTCTGCACAAGAATATACAGAAGTGTAGTATGAGTACACCACGGTCGGCACCCAGTAAGTATCAAGACTAACCTCAGTGGAGTAGTGACGAGGTACAATCGAGACACTCACTAGTCTAATAACCTGTGCAATATAGTATACAAAAATAATAGGAAACAAATAGTGATGACCCAAAAATATCATCTTTAAATTTAATAAGTAATTTTGTGTTCTAAAACCTCGAAAAGTATCATTTATCATTCTTCGACTTGCGTGCACAGTCAGTACATTTTTTCGAAAAGTTTTTATGTGAAAAATAGATTAAAATGAAAAATAGAGCTTTAAAACTCAACTAAGTTGACTTTGGTCAATATTTTGAACAAGCCGACCCGGATCAGTATTTTGAAAATTTCGGTAGATCCGTATCGTGATTTGGGACTTGGGCATATGTCCAGAATCGAATTCCGAGGTCCCTAGCCCGAGTTATGGAATTTTAATAAAAAATTAAAAGCTTGAAAGCTTAATGATTTCTAAGAAATTACTAATGTTGAATTTATTGACCTCGGGTCCGTATTTTGGTTCCGGAGTCTGGTATAGGTCCATATAATATTTATGACTTGTCTGCCGAATTTGATGAGAATCGGAGTTGATTTGACGTGATTCGGACGTCCGGTTGTAAAAATATAAGTTTTAAATTTTTTTTGAAAATCTCCTTTGATTTGCTGTCCGATTCATAGTTCTAGGTGTTATTTTGGCGATTCGATCGCGCGGGCAAGTTCGTATTATATTTTAAAACTTGTGTGCATGTTTGGTTTGGAGCCCCGAGGGCTCGGGTGAGTTTCGGATAGGCTACGGGATGATTTCAGACTTAGGAAATCTGATTTTCTGCAGACTTCAAGCTTCTGATGTGTTCTTCTTCGCGTTCGCGAAGGTACTCTCGCGAACGCGAAGAGCAAATTAGGCTGGCATATTTTGTGCTTCGTGTTCGCGACATAGTGACCGCGTTCGCGAAGGCTTGAGGTTCAAAGCTTCGCCTTCGCGATAGAAGCCTCGCGTTCGCGAAGGGAAAGAGACCGGCCAGGAAAAATTAGCCTTTGCGTTCGCGAAGGATATCTCGCGTTCGCGAAGGCCAAGCCAGGCATGCATCGCGTTCGCGAGGTATCCCTCACGTTCGCGAGGTATCCCTCACGTTCGCGAAGAGTAAAATTTGACAGCACATAATTGTGCTTCGCGAACGCGAGGCACTGACCGCGTTCACGAAGGGTAAAAATCCCAAAAACACAACTTAAGTTCTGGAAATGGGGTTTCGACCCATTTTCAATTCTTTCCCATTTTTGAGCTCGGGTAAGGCGATTTTTGGGCGATATTTACGGAAAAACATTGGGGTAAGTGTTCCTTATCCTATATTGATTATATTTTATGATTTCGTACTCATTTATATCATGAATCCGTGAATTTATGGAAGAAAAACCAGATTTTTATAAAATCTTTCAAAAACGAAAAATTAAGATTTGAAGGTCCATTTGATATCGGAATTGGACAAATTTGGTATGGTTGAACTCGTATCGGAATGGGTGTTCGGATTTCGTGAGTTTTTTGGGATTTGAGACATGGGTCCCACTGCCGAATATTTTAATAAATTTTGGATTTTTATCCGAAAAATTTGTAAATTCA